CTATGTATCTTACCTTACTGTGCAGGACAGGCAACTGCCTGTAAAATTATTCAACCTTATGCAGGCCTTCTGATGAAAATATATTTTAAATTATACAGGCTTAGAGAACAAGATCACCAAAGAGACCATAAGTTGGTGGCTCTGTCAGTTATAGAACCGAATTTAACACTAGTTTTTCTGCGGTTGTTCCTTAAAATGAGTAAGTTGATGTCTCTTCCAGTGAGGGGCCTGTCTGAATGTTTTGCCACAAACTGAGCATTCGAATGGCTTCTGTCCTGCATGAATTAGATAGTGTCTCTCCAGTTTAGATGGAGATCTAAAACTTTTAGAACAAACACTGCATTGGTAAAGAAGGCCATCATTCCTCTCAGGATGTCCTGAATAACTACAATGACTATGATGGCTCTGCTCCGATTCCAGAAGGGAATTAGAGAGATAGGGCTGCCTGCTCCTATAGTGGGCATCAAGAATGAAATCCTCTGATTCTGCCTTAACTTTTATTTCTGATATTTGATCTGACTCCAAGACCTCACATTTTTGAAAACTAGGAGTCTCGCATTGTTGGGAAGCATTATAGTTACCATTATCACCCGAAAGAGTGAAAAGTTTGCTCAAATTGTCAAATTCTACTTGGCAAAAAGATCGTCTGTAAGGAATCTTTTCAGTATGAGTTAATTTATGTCTTTTTAAGTGAGCTGACTGTCTAAAAGATTTCCCACAAACATTACAACCAAAAGGCCTCTGTCCAGTATGAATTAAATAGTGTCTTTGTAGTTTGGATACAGAAGGAAATACTTTCTCACATTTGTCACAAGGACACATCTTATGTCCAGTATGCATGTTTTCGCTTGGAACTGAAAAAGCACATTGAAGCACTTTACAGTTATCAAAAAATTCCTCACCTGATGAACCACTGATAGGTATGTCCTTATTATTCACTGAATTTTCCATAATTAACATGTTTTCTGTTGTAAGGATACCTTTCAAGTTTTTCCCCATATTTTGGCTCTGGTAGTGCTTTTGCCAAGAAGATGGCAACATCAATGTTTTCTTCCTTTTATTGCCAACTGTCTTATATGTTCCATGTTTGCCAAGTGAACCCATAAATGTTCTCTGGGTTTGTTCGGGGCTCTGCTCACCAGAAATAAGATCACATTTTTTCAAGAAACCGTTTTTAAATGATTTTTTGTCAGATCTAAAATTATCTAATTTCTTACTCCCAACATGTTTAAGCTTGGCCAAGATCTTTTTAACAATAGTTTTATAGTTGAGGCTTCTTTTGAAACTGCTTGGAATTTTGCCACTTCTGGCAGGAAAACACTTGTGTCCATTGAGAATCTTCTCTGATTCAAAACACTCTTCACACTCTGGACACTGAAAAGGAACAATATAAATAGAATGGACATCAAGTTGATTATTCTCCTCGGATTCACCTATATCACCATTTTCAAAACCATCCTGCTTTGGGTTTAATTTATTAGGTAGGGGGCATGACTCTGGATTCTTCTTTTTTAATGAAAGAGTCTGAAAAGTCTTATTCCTGGTATGGATTTGTTTATGCTTCAGAAGTTTGCTTTGAATCTTGAATCCTTTTTGACAGAAACAACATTGAAAAGGTCTTTCTTCTGAATGTGTGAGTTGGTGGATCTTTAAATGAGTCGACTGTCGAAAAGATTTACTGCACAGGACACATTTAAAAGGCCTCTGACCAGTATGAATAAGTGCATGCCTATCGAGTTTTGATTGTGACGGGAACATCTTGCCGCAGATTGTACATGCGTGAATATTCTTTCTTTTCTTCGCAGGGCTGTAGGTAGGATCAGACTTAGTAGAGGGGTGTAAGGCCCATCGCTCCTCTGAGGTAAAAGTAGGATACATTCCATACACTGGCTTTTCTTGCTTGGCCTCCAACAATCTTCTAACCTGTTTAACATCATTCTGGTACGTTTCATTGTGAAGGTGTTGGTGCTTCACGAACGTCTTCAGATTTTTAAAGTGGCGTTGACAAATACTACATTTGAAAGGCAGATTATGAGTTAGTTGATGTCTCTCCAGGTGAACTAGTTGCCTAAAAGTTTTATGACACACATCACATTCAAATGGCTTCTGACCAGTATGAATGAGATAATGCCTAGCTAATTTTGATGGTGTTTCAAAGTGCTTAAAGCAAATATTGCAAATATATGGCCTGTTTCTAGGTAGCTTGTTGGCTACTACACACTGTTCAATCTTTAGCATTTTTAAATTGTTTTCAGCCATCATATTCTTCAGTGATACATTCGGATGAGCTCCATAGTATTCTTACTCTCCAAAGATGTCTAAAAATAAAAAATAAAAATGTATTAATTTATTCATATGAAAAAAATAAAAATTATTTATGCATATGAAAAAAATAATTATAAATTGCCCTTTAGCTAAAGATATTAAGGATAAGAGGGAGATCTGGACTTTTCTTGTGTTTAAAATAACCATTTTGGATGAATACTTTAGAATCATAAAACTAATTTCACTCATATAGAGAAGTGATGAGTCTTTAAAAGAAATATTTAAATAGCAATATAATTTCAAGCTATATTTCTAATTAAGATGATACACTGCCCTGCTGGCATGGCTCAGTGGTTGAACATTGACCTATGAACCAGGAGGTCGTGGTTTGATTCCTGATTAGGGCATATGCCTGGTTGCAGGCTCGATACCCAATGTGGGGCATGCAGGAAGCAGCCAATCAATGATTCTCTCTCATCATAGATGTTTCTATCTCTCTCTCCTTCTCCCTTCCTCTCTCAAATCAATAAAAATATATTTTTAAAAGATGATACATTAAGACGAGACTAAACTGATTTGTCAATATTTAGTTGCTTTATCACTTTAAAAAATTTAAGTGTAAGAATGAAAATATAATACTAAAAATAAGATGTATTTTCATTCAATTATAGCATACTATGGACATGATTTGAGAATGGAATATTTCATTTGTCAAAGTTAGATTTCATCATTAACACTATTTACTCTCAATTACTTCTTCTTTGTACCAAAAAAAGACAATATGTCAACTGAGAGAAAATGTCCCAGAAAACCTGGGTTCTAGTCTTGGATTTGCCACCGTATGATCTTGGTGCCAGGAAGAAGGAAATACAGATTCCTTACCTCTAAATCAGAAAAATGCCTCCTGATGCATCTGAACATGTTGAAAAACTGAAGCAATATAAATGTTAAGGTATCATTTAGCTCCAAACTGATCAAATTTTAAAACTTTATTCTTATCTACTTAATATAATTTCTAGGGTTTCTAACTACGATATAAAAACACTAACTAAATTTACAGTTCTTTTTATTTATCCTTTCCATTCATTATAGAATCTCCAAAAGACAAGTTCAGAGGCAAGGAAGTCCACAAACTGGTTACATATATACCTATCTATGGCTAAAAGTAATTGAAAGTTGATTGTGATTCACTTTTTAGGCAATATAATAAAAGGATCATTTTGTTTTCAGAGTTAATATAAAGATACAACTTTTCTTCTAATATACCTCTGTAGGACACATAGAAAAGGCACTTTCACAACCATCTTATACTCTATCGTCCCTTCTTTAATGAGAAAAGCCAATTTTCTTCTCATCTTTCTTCTATTACTGCATTCTCTTTAAATAAGGGAGCCAGAGATTTACAAAACAAACAAAAAAATTGTTCTAGCTCTCTCATTCTAATGTTGTATCTTCTAGTTGAGATCAGAGAGATAACAGGTTTACCAGAAACTCGGGGTTTTTTCGTCAGTTGATTATCCAAATCCAACATATATGCTATTTGCTATTTACTGTCCTCTCCTAGAAGACACCTTAAAGACACCTTAACCACGAAACCACAAACACACCCAATGTGGTTCTCTTCAGCAATCCGAATAAGAAGGAAAAAAAAAATCATAATTCATTTGTTGAGAAAATATCTTCTAACAGTTGCTTTATCACAGTGTTTTTCAAACTGCATGTCAGTATACATTAATGGATTGTAAAGTCAGTTCAGTGGATCATGATCAGCATTTTTGTTTCATAAAACAGAGTAGACAACATCAGATTGTATAACATGGTGATTTTCAACTGGTGTGCCACAGCAGCCTGCTGTGCTGGAAAAATTTAAAAAACATGCAATATCTGACTAGTCAGAACTGACCTCTTTTCCCTTAGATTGTCAAATTAAAAATGGCAGCAGCCAACACAACAATAATCATCCAGTGTGAATGAATCAAAATTATACCTATTTGTTTTGTAAGATTGACAAAAAGTATATTTTTTGGTGTGCCGCAGAATTTTAGTAATTAGTTTATGTGTACCATGAGATGAAAAAGGTTGAAAATCGCTGGCATAACATATAGCAAGGATAAATATTGTTTTGTGAAACTTCTGTAGGAAGAGGTAAAAAAGTTTGTGAAAGCTGTTCCTGGCATACTTCTTCACACAACACTAGACAGAGGAACCCACAACAAATCAATTACTTTATTCAAAGTGACTAAGTTATCTATTAAGTAAGATGAAGGCCTATAGGATGAGACAGGATTACTAGTATAAGGAAGACAACAGTGTCTGGTTTGCCAATATAATCCCAAAATAGTTATCAAAAATCTAATTAGGGGCCAAATAAAATATCCCACAGAGATTTATGCAAAATAAAATAAACTGACTGCAAGCCACTTATCCTAATATATAAAAACCCTGAGTCTGTCACATCCACAACCACCAGAGGCTCGACCTAACACCCAGGCTGCGCGTGCAGCAGGATCTGGTGGATGGGAACTTGTGGCAGTGGAGACGGACAGGGGAGGCGGGGCTGGCACTCACACTCACTCATAACTGCACACACGCACAGACACACACAGCACCCACCAGCTCACAGCCTTTTCTCCCTTTCTTTCCCTCCCTCCCAGCTCACTCTCGGAGCCTCTCTCAGAATGAGGAAACAAAACAGACTGGGCCTGAAGAGACCTGAATGGAAGGGAGGGTGGGCAGAGGGTGGAGTGGCCCCACTGGCCCCTTCCCCTCCCCACCAGCAAAGAGGAAGAGGCAGTTAGAGCTGAGATCAGGCAGGCAGGCGAGGTGGTTAGGGGCAATCAGGCAGGCAGGCAAGTGGTTTGGGCGATCAGGCAGGCAGGTGAGCGGTTAGGAGCCATCGGTCCCAGATTGTGAGAGGGATGTCCCACTGCTGCCAGGATTGGAAAGGGTGGAAGCTGGCACAAATTTTGTGCATTGGACCACTAGTATTAATTTATAAAATACTCAGATATCCATGTAAGTAACAATCAACTGCTGGTGCTATTAATATGGATTTTCATGATGGAGTTAGAGAAATTACAGGTGAACAACCTCCAAATCCCTAATTGCTAACACAATAGCAGTTATGAGAATTAAAAGTCAGTCACGAATCTAGTGAACTACCAAGAACTTGGCAATATATTTAATTCCTGTTGATCAATCAGGTGTTAACAGCCAAACTGATCAAGCCTTTGTTCCCTTACTGCGACAGTGCAGGAGAGAAGCTAAAAGAAGTACTGCTGGCTCCCCAGTGGTCTATTAAATGGTATGACACTAGGTGAGAGTCAGGTAGATGCAGTGCACACAATCATCTTACTACAGAGCCCCAAACAAAAGGCTTCTGTCTCTTTATGGACCGGTGGGCCAGACTAGGGAGGAAGGATACTGCTGGCTCCCCAGTGGTCTATTAAATGGTACGACACTAGGTGAGTCAGGCAGATGCAGTGCACACAATCATCTTACTACAGAGGCCCAAACAAAAGGCTTCTGTCTCTTTATGGACCAGTGGGCCAGACTAGGGAGGAAGGAAGGACTAGGAGTGGAAAGGTCCTGGTAAAAATGCAGAGAAGTGCATCAGTCAAGGGCAAGGCCATTCCCTCCCAGTAAGGTCATGGTGGAGACACCCGGGAAGTGCCTCAGCCAAGGTCCTCAGAGTGGAGTTATCTGAGCCACGAATGCAGTTCGTATGGGCAAGGCTCGCTAGCAGGAGGAAAAGACTTTCCATGTTTGCACAGTCCAGTCC